GATGGGTAATGGAAATACATCTGTTAGGGCCAACAGAAAATGAAAATATTGAGTACCAAGTGTTATGTACCAATATTGTACATTCATGGGCTGTTGGGAAATACTATAAATCTGTGCATCTCATAAAGTATTATGATGGTATTTCTAATTAAGAGGAAAATGGTAGGTCTCGCTGAATGATTTGCATTCTCCTTCCTGTGATTAGAGAGGCTCTGTTGGTCATTTTCCACTTTCGTAGTGACCTGAACATTGCCCCAGTCCTGCAGGTAGAGGATATATCTTCAGGCATAAGCGTGCCTTCCTGCAGCCCCTTGGGTCAAATTACACTCACCTGTCCTTGTAACCCTGCCCCTCCTGGCCTTTTTTGGATGGAACTTTCTAAGAATGAGGGTTCCCCCAATAAAAGCTCACTTTCAAACGTGCTCACTAGCCTCTTGTGACTTTCCTCACTTCCCATTTGGGGAGCTTGAGGCTGAGAGCCAAGGAGCTATCCTGAAGCTTGATTTAAAGGTAAAGTGTGTGTCTGTGTTTTATTTGGTGTCCCAGGAAATTCACAAGAGCGACCTTAAGTTCAGCTGCCAGGGCAGGTGGGGAGCAGCATTTGGAAAGTTAACGACAATACACCAAGGTTCAGGGGAATTCAAGCCAAATAGTCCAGACAGAGACATCTGGAAAGTATGGGGCATTCAAGTTGTCATCCTTTTCTTCTGTAGGTTCTGTGGGTTCTCCTATTATGTCATTCAAGGCAATTATGTCTGTATAATTGTCATAATAGAACCTTTTCACAATTAAGGCAGGGAAAATAAAAAATTGAATTCCATAAGGAGAAAAATTTTACTTTGGTAGCCAGGTTACAATAGAATGATGGGCTGCTAATTGTTATTTCTGTGTATGTATATAGGGTGGTATCACTGGTGTAGTTGAAGGAAGCCAATTCATAGGAAGATGAAGATAATGTGCAAAAGAAGTGTGGGTGATATACTGAGGCTGCTGTTTTTGTCTCCACACCTCAAGAGAAGAACAATGATGGGGATTGGGGACAACCCAGTTAGTAAGTTCTAGTGTATTGTCTAAGAACTTTTGATGCCATGAGCTATATCTTTTGGTGGCTGCATAATATTGAGTGCAGTATATTGAATCTATGTGTCTATAGAATGCATACTTAGCCAAAAAGATTTCAGATTGTATTGGATACGATAATGACCATGTGTGCTTTTTCAAAAATGGAGCACCTTGGATAAATTCACATATCTCCATGGTATTCAAGAAACATGCATGAAATTCCAGGTATGTGGGGCCTGTGAGTCTAAAGAGATGTTCTCTTCATTAGCAGGTGTAGAGTCAGTCAAACTGGCATTGTGTGGCCAGATCACATGACAGAAAAGGAAAAGAATATACAGGGTCAGTATCCATTGGAATGGTGACCTCATGTTGAGAAGCCAAATGTTGCAGGATGTATTTGCATTAAAGATACTATGGAGATAAATGTGGAGGGTGATTGATCATGGGAGACTTTTGGGAGCAGTTTCTGTAGAAGGTCAGAGATTATGTATGGTATGTCTGAGGTGTTGGGTTGGAGCAAAATCAGAAATTAGGAAGTATGATATAAACGAACATTGTTGTGTTGGTCTCACAATATTACAACACCCATATCTGAATTATTGTCAAAGCTAACACCAATATCTGAATTAGCTTTGACAATAACCTCTGGTGTGATATCCTGAGGTTTTATCCAGGGGCTAAAAAAGTGATAAATAATATAAAAGAAAAAAACAATAAACATGATCAAAATGGGAAAAATCAATATGTGTGAAAGAGGCAATGAATTCGTAGGTGAATAGGGGGAGTTGTGGAAGGGACCAAGGCCAGGAAAATGGTCAAGTCATATTCAGGGATAAGGGAAATAATCAATGCCAGGTTTGACAATAAGTGTGTATGGGACCAAACATTAGGTGTAGAAGCCAGGAGGAGAAGGAAGAGAGTTGAGGAGGGGTCAGGTCAGTAAAGGCTCTTTAAAACCAGAAGTCTCCAATAAGATCCAATATCTGAGTAGGAGAGAGTTGGTGAAGGTCTATTGAAGACAGTTTGACCAATTCATTCCTGAGCAAAGTCAAGAAATAATGAAAGGAAGCCTGAGGAGAGACATTTAAACTCACTGTCAAGTTTCTATGAAGCACAGCATATAATTAACTAAGGTGTGTTACCAGACCTCGGAGTACTCAGTACAGTTTGTGTAGGTGCAATGCTGGCAAAAGGTGAAATGTCCAATTAAAATGAGGGCAGAAAATAAAATGCAAAGGAAACTGATCAAGTAGATGAGTTTCCACATTGCTCACCAAGGCCAAAACAGAGGGTCACAGTTGATCTTCATGCGGAAAAAGAGATGTTGTTTGGTCAACTGGAGATGATCTTTGGGACCAGTCATCCAAAAGCAATTTCCATCCACAGATGTGACAATATCCTGTAGAGAAAGGGAATTCTCTTGAATTTTTAACGAATGCTCTGGGTGAGATCAGAGCATTACTTATAGGTTGTATAATAGATAGTGTAACAAGTGGGTAAAAGGAAAAGCTGTCTGAAAAGGAGAATTTCTATTTAAATGAGGCCTGTTATTTAATTTGAAGACTGTGATTGGAATGGCCTTAGCTAGACACAATTCAGTAAAGGCCATAAGTTTAGTTTTAAGTACTCTGTTCCATTGTTTGATAAAATCACTGGCAGTAGGATTATAGGCAAGGTAGTAATTCCATTGTATGCTTAGAGTATTGTATAACTTCTTAATCTGGGCCCCTGCAAAATGTGTTCCCTGATCACTTTCAATGATGTTTGGTAATCCATAATGACTAATCCATTGCCATAATGTTGGCAACAATTGCCTTTATTGTGATGGGGGCCTCCTGATTGGGTGATGAGCAAGGGTTTGCTAGTCTCAATCTAGAGAAGACATCTCTAATTGTACATGCGCATTTGTTCTGAAAGTGTTGTAAAGGTCCTATAAAGTCAAATTGAAGCATGAAATTAAAAATGTTGGGTTTGTATCTATCTGATGGTGAGGTATGTCTAAATCTTAAGTGAGCCTTAGAACAATTGGTGCAATGTTGAACAACAGATTTACAGTGCTGCTATGAAGGTTCTTTGGAAGCCCACTTATATATCCAATCCATATATGTATGTCTAAAATTTCTTCATTAGATTTGGTGGCATGGTTTTGAGTGGGATTTTGGCCCATTTATTAGATTGTGTAAGTGAGGTTATGTTATGTGGTTTAAAAATTGCCATCAAGTTCTCAGATAATTATTGAAGTTTATTTGGATGTCCATTGATTTGTATTTTGCAATTTTAAGCAATTTTGTAATTTAGAGAGTTTGTCTATCTTCCGGTTATGTACAGATGTTTTATCTGTATGTTTAGTGTATGCATCTACAAGGGAAACATATATTATCATACTGCATTTTTCAAGATAATCCCAAATATCACAAGACCAATTAGGCCTACCATTAATAGTCCAATTAGAGGATTTCCATTTTCCTGACCAAATGGCGATGCCATTTGCTATGCACCAAGAATCTATGAATATGTATATAATTTTTAGTTCCTCAGATTTAGAGTGTGCTAGAGCCAATTTCACCACATGGAGTTCTGCATGTTGGGCTGAGTATTCTGTCCCTTCATCAGTCAGAATTACTCCATCTGAGGGTCTGTAGGCTGTGGCATTCCACCGCTGCCTCCTTTTTATTACCATAGTGGAGCCATCAGTGAACCAGGCATTTAGTAGCTTTATTGATCATTGTTCAGACCCCCCAGTGCCTGATTGGTCTGCTGGGGTACAACGGGAGTATGTTTTAGGACAGATGCAATTGGCTGGGACGCTATGTGCTCAGTCAATTTGGCTACTGTCTTTCCTGTTGTGATTGGGTGTTCCTTGTGGAACTCCTGTATATATCATTTCCTTGTTAGCACCTTAGGCTCCATCTGTACCCCGGGCAGTGCTTCTCCAGGCACAAGGGCCCATGGTAATATTGGTATAGTTGATCGGATTTTTATGGGTTGATTCTGACATTGTGGGGAAACAGTATGCAAAGCCTCATAGAGTGTCCACATGGTTTTCTCAAAAAGGTATTATTTTGAGGATATCCATGAGAATTTCTTGCAAAAGAATGTCATGGAGAATGTCTTTCCATTAATGGTGGTATAAAGTCCCCAGTTACCATAATCTTTTAAAAATATTATATCTACTGTAAATCATCCCTTTTCAGGTACATGTAGGTGTTGGTATTGTTTAAAGTATTCTTTTAGTGTTTTAAAGGCAGAAAATTGTGGTTCTTCTCAAACAAAATGTCCTGCCTTCCTGTCCTGTCACCTCATATATAGGTTTTAAGATGATTTGTAAGTAGGGGATGTGGTTCGTCCAATAATCAAATAAGCCAATTAGGTGTTGGGCTTGCATCTTTCTGTGGGCTTGGTTAGAGACGTATTTTATCAGTGGTGGTGGATAGAATTGATTGTCCAGTGGAGTTACAAATTACTCCCCCCAATTTTTTTTTTTTTTTTGGATCTACAGTAATTTTATTGTAACAGAGAAACCAAGGTGCAGTAAGTCTACATGATTGGAGCAGATGGTGGTTATCGTTCCAAGGGTGAAGCCTAAGCCTGGCTGGCAGCACACAAACCCCAGACTATCTCTTTTCTGATCCTAACCTGTGTTGCCTGACTCATGATGTGAGGTTAGTGGCTGCACAACCACAAGGAATGAAAGTAGAGGTCCAGCGGGCAGAAGCAGCACCCCAGGAGAAGACAATTACACAGTCAATGATGAGGATGCTGGCATAAAGTGCGGTCACCTACCCTCGACTATTCTTTGCCAAGAAACAGAGGGTATGGCATGAGCAGAAAATTATGTTCTCCAATCTTAAATAGATCCTGATATGATGGGGTTCATGGTTAATCAAGCAATAGAATGGGATGGAAATCTAGGCTAGTTATAGGTCTTTGTGTTAAAGAAAGAAAAGAACAGCAATGGTAAGAAGAGACAGACATTTTCCTTATTTTCTTAAATAAGACAGGAAACAGCATCTATTATTTTCCTTGCTGCAGTGGCAACAGACCCATTGGTTTTTGTAAAGCACAATTTGTGCAATATGGTCTGTTGATAGGATGCTCCACCATGGGGGGACAAATGTGAGGTGGACTGCTAATGACACAACTCAGCTTATAGCATGAGCTATGTCTCAAGCTGGATCCGCAGAGGAACCCCTTCCACCACACAGTGCTTCATTAAAGCTTCTGAAATATTGCAACATCATGACAGGTTTTTGGTGCTGTGACTTTCTTATACATGTAAACTCTTTCAAAAAAGTCAGATAAAAGGATGATGGAGGAGTTTGGTTTAAAGCCACAGAGTTCCAGACACCAGCCATGGATGCCTCTGCGCTATCTCACTACATGTTCTTTTCTGAGAAATACATCCAATCACTAAGTGTTATGCACTGTGGTTGAAAGAAATGACCTCTCCACCATCCACCCTCCCTCATCCTACATGTGAATCACACAACGGCAGGGACTGACGACAAAAAGGTTGTCTCTGTTCTCGCACCAGGAAATTACTTGGTGACCTGGTGGATGGCATGTGCAAGATAGGCGACTTTGTTGGAGGTGACCCCTGCCACAGAGATGTGGCCATCCTTTGTCATGTAGATGGAGAACTCCTTGGTCAGTCGCTCTACCTGTTCAGGCTTTAGGCCTGTGAAACAAAACATGCGGATCTGGTCGGTGATGTGCTGCCAGTTGTGGGAGGAGCCCTCCTTCTTGAGGTTAGAGACCAGCTGGGTCCGCATGCTAATGATGCGGTCGGCCATGCCTTTCACTTCCTGCAACCACTGCTTTCGCAAATCCGGGGAAGTCAGGATGGTAGAGGCCATCCCGGCCCGTTGAGAGGAGGGTTGGAATACAAGGGGCGAATCACAATCTTCAGCTGTGACTCCACCCTTTTGGCTTCATCAGCGTCTTTGCAGACTACGGTGAAGGCTCCCACCCGCTCCCATGTTCTTGGCATATGATTGGCAGAGACAAACATTAATGCCCTGTTCGATGAAGTGGCGCACAGCCCAGGCATCCTTGTTACCATCACCACTGGCAAAGCCTTGGTAGGCCATGTCAAAGAATACAAAGAGATTCTTTTTCTTTACCACAGACGCTATTTCCTTCCACTGCTCAGGACGAGGGTCCACTCCTGTGGGATTGTGGGCGCAGGCATGCAGGAGAAGAACACTCTGCTCTGGCATTTTCAAAATGTCTTCCATGGCGCCTGTGAAGTCAAAACCACAAGTCTTGGGGTCATAGTACCGATAAACCTGTAGCTTCATGCCAGCATCCCTGAAAATGGGTGTATGATTTCCCCAGGACGGTTTCGGTAGGAAGACATCTCGGCTGAACTTAAAAAATCTTTCCATAAAATGTGCTCTGACCCTTAAGGCACCAGTTCCAGAAATGGTCTGCCCGGTGACAAACCGGCCACTTTTCAACACCTCACTGTTCTCACCCAGGGCTAGTTCTGCAGATGCCTTACAAAATTCAGCCAGTCCACCAATGGGCAGGTATTCCTTGTCCAAATTTTTTGCAGCAATCTGGGCCTCGGCCTTCCGGACGCTAGGGAGCACATAAGGCTTTCCATTATCATCTCGGTAGGCACCAACTCCCAGGTTCATCTTTTTGCTGTTGGTGTCTCTCTTGTAGACTTCAGTGACTCCCAGGATGGGATCTGGGGGTCCCATTTCTACATGGGCCAACCAAGAGCTGGCTCTGGCAAAGGCTGCGGGGGCAAGGCCAGGGTGGAAGGCGCCAGCGGCCCCAGAGAGGATGCAGCAGGAGTGCTTCAGGGCCATGGTGGATGGCAAGAGGGCAGTAGGTAGTGCAAGACAGAGAGGAGGGCAAGTCCCCAAAATTTTAATTAAGCTGCAGGTCCTTGAACTTTATTAATGGTCCAATTATTTATTTATTTATTTATTTATTAGTTTTATTGATTTTATTTTTTTTAAATACATAACAGTGGAATGCATTACAATTCTTATTACACATATAGTGTGCAATTTTTCATATCTTTGTATACAGAGTATGTTCACACCAATTCATACCTTTATACATGTATTTTGTTTATTTTTTGCATCACAATTCTTAATATATATATATATATATATACCACAATTTTTCATATCTCTGTTTATATATAAAGTATGTTGACACCCAATTCGATTGTATTGGGAAGGACATTTTCACTTGAGTAATAAATGAAAATGTCCTTGTCTGTCTCAAGGTTCCTGGCCTGTCTTAGGTATTCTATTATGTCATTTATGTGTGGCATTAGCTAGTGCTGCTGTTAATGTTAGCTTTAGATGACTTGTGCCTCCCTTGATCACTAAATGTTTTATCTCCTGTTTTATAGGAATAGCTAATAGTGTAGTAGACTCCTCAGAGTATATCATTACAATAATCCCAATCTTATGACAGTTTAATATATTGGTCATACTGGCCCAGTATAACTGCATACCAAAGGATGACAGATCCATCATTGACAACAGGGCCACCATTGATCCAAGCTTGGGCTACCCAGCTAAATATGGCATATGACTCAAGGGGTTGATCATTGACTACTTTTAATAGTGCATCATGGATTTGTGGGTTGTCTGTGATACCTACTAGGGCTGACATTTCTTGTCCAGAAACCATCACTCTGTTTGCTTTCCTGTTCTAAAGTTTTAGTAAGTATTTGACATTCCTGGTGTCTTTCTGTGCAAATTCACTTCTATATACCTGTATCTCAGTCCTGGTTAAGTCCCTAATTTCAACAGATTGTTCTGCATTTTCAGAGTTCACTGGAGTAATTATTTTATTTGTAATGACCATATGCATTCCTTAACTTCCTGGATTTCCATCATGTTCTGTAGGAATGGGTTAGTTTTACTTCTTTCAATAATTCTTTTGGCTAGCCTTTTTCCCCTTTATCTATCTTCATCTATGTCTGATTGTTTTACACAATATTTCAGGTATTTCTTTAGAATCTGCTTGAGCAATTATGGGTTGCATTCCATCAGGGTTTGTTAACACTACTTCTACAGTTGTCCCTTTCTGGAAGTTTGGGAACTTTTCCTGTGTGGCCCTATCTATGTCTCACCATTGATTTGGGGGGTTTAATTTACTTTTGACCAGAATTTCAATTGGTCTAGTTTTTCCTTAATCCACATCATTTCTGTAACTTAACAGCTATATGCAGTATTACCTAAACCACATGCTTTCTACAATACCATAATATAGTGCTATTGGTATATATATGCTTGACATACATCATTCAATTAATAATTCTGCCTGTCTATATAACCGTTTCACTAACCATTCCCGCATCCAGCCTTACCCTGTCAGGAAGTTGCTTTCACCCCTCCCAGAAGACAGTCTCACCACAGTTTTCCCTGGGGTGCCTTTTGGAGGTGGCTAATAGCAATCATAACTTGGTGTATGGTCCTTTCACCAAGGTTGGACCCCTACCAGAGCCAGTCTTACCACAGTTACACACAGGTATCTTTTGGAATTGATCACTACTCTCTTGGTTCAAGGTTGGTACCCCAAGGTATCACTTATGTATAGGCCTTAAGCAATCATAAGCATCCATGCCAACTACACCAATTGTCCCGAGCGATGCTATTACTCAGAGGCAGATTGTCCTCAAATGCAAGCATATCTTCGACACACAAACAATTAATGCACAGAGTGTTGGGTGTGCTGAAGCACCCCAACTAGCAATTAAGGCACACTAATTAAGCACTACAAGCATTTCACACACTACTTGGGCAACCATAAGCCCCAAAATATCTCTGATGCCAAGCAACTTTAGCCAAAGAGCAAAGTTGTTATTGTCTAGTGGTTCTCTCCTGCCGATGGTTGGACTTCAGTGAATGATGGAGTCAATTCAGGGACAGAGAGCAAAGCACCCATTCTTACTGATATCCTCAGAGCAACCTCGATGATGAACAGTGTTTTAAATATAGTTTGAAGATGGTGGTGTTTGTTGGTGATTGGTTACACCAGTGAGAGTCAATGTCCATTGGTCATGTCCAGTGAGATTATGTAATTGCAACAGGACATGTTCTTTGTGCATGTCCATGGAGCTGTGCTACTTATCAATTGTAACCAGTTATTGCTAAGCATGCCTTTAGCCAGTGCCTCTAATTGCTTTCTATTAATTATAATTAGGCCTGACTAAGCATGCCTATGGCTGCTATTCCTTATGACGAACAACTTAGTGAGTCTCAGCATGTGCCAGTACGTTTATGGCAGATGCTTCTTACATCATCCCACATCAATCTTTCCATCTTGGTAAAATAAATCCTCTCAAATTAACTCAAGACATACTTAAAGGAAACAATATTTTAAAGACCATCCACCAAATTATCAAAGTCTGAGAGACATGTCAGAGAAATAACCCCCTTAACTCTGCCAAGATGCCCCCAGAATTACAGAAGACAGAATAGTTCCCTGGGGAAGACTGGCAACTTGATTTCACTCACATGCCCAAGAGCAATGGGTTCCAATTGGTTATTGGTTAAGGTAGATACTTTTATGGGATGGACAAAAGTCCTATCCCTCCCAAATTGAACAGGCAGGAGAAGTAGTCAAAGCCTTATTACAGAAATAATTCTCCAATCTGGGCTGTCCCACAGCCTCCAGAGCGACACTGGAGCAACTTTCAAGGTAGCTGTCACTCAAGGAATGTCCAAAGCCCTAGGCATAAAATAACACCTCCATTGAGCATGGAGACCTCAATCCTCAGGAAGAGTAAAAAAGACTAATGACATCCTAAAGAGTCATTTAAGAAAACTCACACAGGAGATTTCTTAAACTACCCATGGCCTAAGGTGTGTCCCTTGGCCCTATTCAGGATCAGGAACACCCACAAAATGTTAGGGCTCAGCCCATTTGAGCTCTTATATGGGAGGCCATTTCTAACAATGATATCCTTAAAGATCAGGAAACTGCAGATCTAGTGGCCCACCTAACCAAATTCCAAACTAAAATCTGTAAATATCATATATCTGAGTCAATCACTTCTCTATATGAGCCTGGAGATGTAGTTATGACCAACACCATACCTTCAAATTCCCCAAATTTAGACCCTATTTGGAAAGGACCTTTCCCTATAATCTTATCTGCCCCCTCTGCAGTAAAAGTTCTGGGTCAGAGGAACTGGATTCTCTACTCTCAGGTTCAAACCTGCCATCCTGAATCGACTCCCAAAGAGACTTTTCCTTCCCAAGGATCTGAGGAATGACACTTCTGCACACTAGTAGAAGACCTGGAATATCTCTTCCTCAGAGACAATGGTGATATGTAAACTTTTCTTTCTCTCTTTAGTATAGACAGATCCACTGAGACTAACTCTTTTCTATATTTGGCCCAACAATATGCCACTAGGTCACAGAAAGATAATTGCTGGATATGTGAAATATTACCCTTCTCAAGCACCTCTGGACTGCCTTGGTGGGTATCCCCTTACAATAAAATGACTGCATAAATTTACAATCCTTAATGTTAGAAAAAAGGAAGAAAGATCCTCTTCATAAACTGCTTTTCATGCCGATATTAATTTATGGCCTATAAGTCAAACTTTACCACAACTAGGTCATGAAAAGATTTTTCACCTTAGAACAGACCAATCTTCAGACTTCTGCCACTGGTAAGTCACATATAGGCCCATGCAATTCTCACCTTCCACCATCATCATCACCAACAATTTGTCACAGTGTTGGTTATTTATCTGATTCGGGAGAGATATTTATGGCTTACACCCACCATTGGACATCTAACCAAGAAACCTCAGTCTGTTGGGAACAATGTAACCACACCTATGACAAATGGCCGAACATTACTAGAGAATTAGGATGGACCCCAGAGTCACTATGCCAATAAATTGTGATTTTATAAGCCACTGATTGTTTTGGGACTAATTGACTCTCTAGACCTAAAATTATTTGGCCAGCACCCAAAGGGATTCAATGTCTATGTGGAACTAACTTATGGCCCTGGTTTCTTCCAGGCTGGATAGGAAGTTGTACTATGGGGAACCCCTGGATGCAAGGGAGATGGACCCCAAGTATAGAACAGCCAGCAAATCTCTCCAATCTCAGATATAGATGGGGATGATCTGCTTTTTGTTGGTATGATCATCTAACTTCACTGTTTCTTATTCCACAAATTGATTTAGAAGATGTAATGTGACATGTGGAGACCCTAAGCAATTATACTTAAATTGCTCTCCATGACATTGAGGTGTTTCTCTCCTTAACACAGAAGTAACATACATGAGGAAAGCCATCTTACAAAACCACATGGCAGGTTGCAGAATCACATTGGTCAAACAGTCACGTATATATATACAGCAATAAATGAGAAATTATACCCCATTTGATTCAAATGTATGATATGTCAAGATCATTGTACTGTCATGTGTAACTAATAAAAATAAAATAAAAATAAATTTAAAAACCTCATGGCTTGAGATGTCCTCACAGCCCAAAGAGGTACTTGAGCCATTATTAGAACTGAATGCTGAGGGGAGGGGGAATAGTAGAGGATAGGAAAGGCAGCAGAATACAACAGACACTAGTATGGCAGTATGTAAAAATGTGGATGTGTAACTGATGTGATTCTGTGATCTGTATACGGGGGAAAAATGGGAGTTCATAACACACTTGAATCAAATGTATGAAATATGATATGTCAAGAGCTTTGTAATGTTTTGAACAACTAATTAAAAAAAAAAAAAAAAGAACTGAATGCTGTGTTCACATACCCGACAACTCTGGCAATGTGACTGATATCCTTAAAGATTTACATACTCAAATATAGGCCATGTCCTCACCAGCCTTATCATGGGAACAAAGTCTTAATTCCTGGTTCTCTGGTACCTCCTGGTGGAAAACATTGTTCGTTTCTGTTGTCATAATCATACTTGTTGGCATGTTCCTATGCTGTGACATTTATTATTGTATTAATCTTCTTCTAGTACTGATAACTTCTTGTATCTCTTGTAGACCACCCATCTCTCAAAAGGCCCTCCAGCCTATTGTTTCTGAACCAGACTTTTACCACAGACCTCTCCATTGGCTAGCTCAATTTTAAAAAGGGACCTCCAAACTGCTTGCCCCCACACCACCCACTTCCAGCTCCAGGCAGCCAGGGCAGTCATTGTCCACTTTCCTTACAGTAGTAAGGAGTTCCTAGATTTGCAGGGGAAAATGAAGCCAAACTGAAAAAAAGGTATTTAGCAAAGATAGATAAATTGGGCCAGATTGAAAAACAGACCAAACCAGTTTGGGTCTGAAAGGTTGGAGATTGCAGCCAAGACAGATTGAAATGTTAATGTCCCCAAGAAGCCCAGTCTATACACTTTCCTAAACAATTGTTAATGAACCCACTCCTGAGCACACAGGGAACTGCTAATTAAATTCACTCTGGGAACCTCTTCCTGCAATGATCACTCCACCCTGGCCCCTCCAGCCCACCTGTTTCCCACCTTTGGGGTTTCCCACTAGCATCTCCCTATCAGATATATGGCCATGAGGGGAAATAAACAAGTTAAGGGGGAAGAACAACAACAACAAAGAAAACTTTAGATGTATCAAAGAGATAGGACTTCCTCATTGCAGGGATTCTGCCTTTCAGATCCTCTTCTTTCTCTGGGGAAAATTCTGTTCTCCTATCTTTAAATAAAACTTCTTACTTTCTATTCTATGCTTGCCTCAGTGTGCTTCTTTGGTGTTGGACTTCAACATTTGAGGAAGCTGGACTTGTCAAGGTAACTGGTAACTGGCAGTATCAGGAGGTAGGACTACACCTTACTGCAGACACTGAAGGGACAGAACCATGTCCTTAAGCCAGGCAAGGGCCATTCTGAGAAGCTCTGATACTGAGGAAATAAGGAAGAAACAAAGTACAGCTCAACAAGGAAAGTTCATGAGTTGGGAGCAAGATTGGGTGATTCACTTCAAGGACCTACCTGGCAGCTCCTCCTCTTCCTTGATTTACATATAAGAAGTATGCTGGACACCAGGATCACCACTCCTCTGGGAAGTCACTTTCTGCCTCCTTCAGCATGAGCTCTCTCCAGCTGCCACTCAGGGCTGGCCCTGCAGCCCTGCTCCTGGTCCTATGCCTGCAACTGGGACTCAACAAAGCTCTGGAAAACCCGTGAGCCAAGCCCTTCCTTCCACAGAGAAACCTTAGGGAGGGCTTCTTTCCTAATCAGGAAATCTTTACATCCCTTCCTATAGATTTTTAAAACTTCCTGGGAAGTCCCAAAGAACTAAGTAAATTCTAATTGCTGGACCCTATCCAGAACAAAGAAGGAGGATCTTTCAGGACAGTCATAAAAAGCCAGTGCATGGAGATGTTTGCTGGAGTGATGTGATTCTGTGGCTATGCTGTCTTCTCCTATGGGTGACTCCCCTCTCCCATCCCACAGCAGATAAGCAGCAGAACCTGTAGGATGTTATTAGTAAATGACATGTGGTATTGTACTTGAATCTTCATTTTTTTTCCTTTTTGTAAACTTGTTCTTTTTTGTCAATGGAAATAAAATGGAAAATGATCTATTTTAAGTAGAATTCAGTTGCTTCTTAAAATGAAACTAAGTCCATACACAATATCCAAACCCACCCACAGGCAAAAATTCCTGGGGCTCTAATGCTAAACAGTCCATCCAATCTCACCATCTACCCCCAACTCTCTGGTGGTTCCAGTCCCCCTGCCAGTCTCATGAACTAGTCACTGAGTTCTGTGCTTTTTTTTTTTTTTTTCCTCTTCTCAGACCTAGACGGAAGGTGTTGCAATTTCATTTGGATATGCCACAGAGAGCAAGGCCAAATGAAGAAGTCAATGTGAAACTTGAACTTCGAACAGAACTGAGAGAATGCATGGTGGTAAGTACAGGCTTGAGGAGGGACCTCCAGACAAATCTTACTTCTTATTAGAAACAAAATTGAATTGCTCTCTCTCTCTTTTGTGTTGCACGATACACTTAACCTCCTCATAAGTTTTGCTATTAGACTCAGAACAATTGTCCGAGCATGGGGCAGATGATCATTCTTATTTTGGAGATAAGGAAACTCTGATCCCAAGAGGTTTAGGAAAGATGAGAAAGGAGGGTAAGGAGGGAGAAAGAAAAAGAAAAAAGAAGTGAGAAAGAGGGAAAGTAAAAGGAAAACAAAGTCTAAGAGCTGTTAGAGAACCGGTCACAGTTCCTCCAAGGCCCTGAGCATTCCTGGTCTGGGATGGAAGCCTGGACAGAGGGTTCTTGGTAGGACTGATTGCAACCCCATGCAGTAGGTTGAGGCATGGAACAGAAGGACTTGCAGAGCATGGTGCCTCATCTCCAGTGAGCCCTGGGCCAAGTCTGCCTTTCGCTCCCCCTTCCTCTGCTCTTTTGCTTCAAGTCACCAAAAGTTGGCTCTTGTTCTGGCCCCACCCTCCACTCCACAGATTGTCCTCTTTTTCCCAGTTCAGCATTTCTTGGAGAGAAGTCTAATTTGTAGATTAGACTGCAGTAGAACAGAATTCTCGAATCATGATGAGCCTAAAACTCACCTGGCCATCCTGTCAAAGGACAGATACTGATTCCAAGGTGTAGAGAGAAGCCGGAACTTCTAGATGTCTCAGGAACTCCAGAGCATGCAGAAGCTGTATTCCAAGGACAGTACTTTGAGCAACCTGGGGTTAGAGCACTATATCACTCTGTATTTCCCTACAACATGAGTTTCCTGATTCCAGTGAGATCTAAGGGACCAAAAATTGCTAGCATGAGGTTAGCTATTCATGTAAATATATTCTGGGAATATCTTTATTCTTGTAAAAGAGTCTTGATCAGAAAGTGCAGAACATTCTAGCTATTTAGTCAAATTTTTCTATTTGAAGTCCAAAAATCTGAGCCATTTATTCTAAATTGAGTGAAAGGGAGTCTGAGTGATAGTTTTTAATTTTGTTATTTGTTTAAGCATAACTGAAAATGAGAATGAGGAAAATGTGTAGAAAATACATGCATAAAATTTTTGTGATAATGGTAATTTCTGGTGGTGATAGATAATGAAAGTCTGTTTCTACCCCTAAAGAAGTGATAGGTGTAATAAAGTGTTTAAATCAATAAAATGACATGTAATGTTATGATCAATAAAATTATGTTTTTAAGTATCTTGTTAGTACAATAAGAGAGAGTGACTTTAAAAACCCACCCAAGTGCAAATAAAAAGAATAAGAAACTCCTTAGAATGAGTAATTGTGCAGACAGGAAATATCTCAGGTCAAAGGAAATTATATTAGTTTTAGTCAACCAATTTTATTTGTAGATTTCAATCAACAAAAGAATATAACTACAAAAACATCTTTATATTATAATTTATACTTTTAGGAAAATATAATTTGTTTATATAAATTTGAAATTTACACCCCCTAATTTTCTATCAATTATAATAATTCTACAACTAAATTTTTGATAAATTGGGATCTTAGGCTCACATTTGTCTATTTTCAAATCAAAGTAGAATAGATTGTTCCTATAATTTTGTATTTGAAGATGAAGATCATATAAGGCTTTAAGGATAAAGAACACTTGTGGTTAACCAAAAGACTTAAGCATTTTTGTATTATGGACCATTTTACTGGTCTTATAAAATATATGAAATAGTTATCAGAAAATTGCTTTTAAATACATAAAGTGCATTGGATTACATAGGATAGTTATCATATTGAATGACCACAATAAAAGTTCTGATACAGTGACATATGTGTTTACATGATACATTAGCTGGATTTCTCCATTCAGAATATTTAGATACATTTCAAATATTTAGAATATTAAGATACATTTCATTTTATGAAGACATTGTCTATGATGGTTGTTGTTGCTCAGCTTGAATAAAGAAGTTTAGTATAGTGAAACTGTGCTGGTCTTTGACACATGTCATTCATTCATGCTATTCCACTGGATTCTGATACTTCTGCTGCAATTATACAGTGATAAAATTTCCATTCATGACAATATTTTATTGCAAATGTGATTTTTAAAAAACTAAGCAATACAAGTATAGTCTTCTCTAAACATCAAGATACCCACCTCAGGGGTTCTGAGCAGCATTCCAATGGGAAGAATGTGAAGGGTTATTCCAGGTGGAGTTGCCAGGTACCTGACCAAGCTTCGGGGATGTGTAGGCTGTTTCAGTCATACTGATGCAGCCATTTTAATTGCCACCTTTTGTTCAGGGTGGTGATGAGTACAGGTCATGTTCAAGGTATTTGAATCTTTGAACTGATATTTTGTTGCTCCTGGTAAAAAAGTTGCATATACTATTGAGGCAACGTATAGCATTGAGGAATGCTAAAGTTTAGTTAAATCTTGGAGAAGTAAAGATACAATTTTTTTCCATCTGAGTTCACAGACATAGTATACTTCATCCACAGATCCCTCTGGGTGGATGGGTCTTGGGATACAAATGCTAACTAGACAACTGAAATGGACAGAAGCAATAATTGCAGATACTAAAGCAATCTCAAGCTGAAAGAGGAAAAAAAGAACCATCATGGTTCTACTTGCTTATCTAAAAGCCAGGCTTGGGATTCCATGGCTGTTTCTACCTGACCATCAAAGGGAAAGGTCTAACTTCTGTCATCCCAGGTCGCAGGATCAGCAGGGCCCTGTCACGAGATGACAACAAGGTCTGACCTTGACATGTATACCTGAGCAGCCAGGATACTGTCTCACTGGGTCACAGATCAAAACTTCATGCAGGTCAATTCCCTAAGCTCCAGCTATTAATCTAAGCAAGCTGCTCTCTGATGAATGGCGGCCCTGGGATGAGCTCTCCTTGCCTTGGGAGTCATAGCATCTTCCTCTTCCCTCCTGAGTCTCACACCCACACTTCTCAGGCAAGAGATTGAAGACTTGAGGAGAGAAAACTGGAGAACACTGACTGACCCATGAATGGACACCACATAAGTGGGCTCCTGCATGTCTCTAGCCCATCTCCACTTTCTTCTTCTCGTCTTTCCATCCCCGGCCTGTTCCCTAGACTAACATTGAGTCCTCTTTCCCCACCAGGTTAGAGCTCAACTCAGAAGCAATGTCCGAATGAAGGGTCACTTCAACCAAAAATTCACTGGCTGTCTGTGTGAAGATAATCCATTTACCTTCTTCTGGGACTTTCACAGTAGAAGTAAGTACAAGCTTTGTCCAATGAAGGAGTTATCCACCCACCAGTGAGGAAGACCAGAAACAAATGTTCAGCACAAGCTCTGGGGGAGGAACGGAGGGGTGACTGGAAAGGAAGACCTCAGGAGGAGTCTATGAGGACAAAGCCCAGGCTTTAAAAGGGAAACACTACATGAGAAAAACTAAGAATGGAAATCAATTGCAAATGATTTAGGGAATATGATCTTTGTCCTCATCTCTTCCAGACACTGCAAAAATTGCAATATTGATTGACGTAATTAATGAGAAAGATATCTGTGATGATATTTCAGTGGTTCCCAACGAAGGAAACCAACAATATATTGTGCGTACCCTGTTCATACATTAATGGAAACCGCTTCTGTGTCCATCAGCACCCATGTGGTTTTCTCCAAGTAAAATTGGCTGGGGTTCCTATTGAGGTCTGTAAAATAAACTGTTCAAGCTTCTCCATGTTTTGTTGTGTCTTTCCTCCAAAATCTATCCTGAAAATCCCAGAATACCCAAAATTTCTAGAACCTTAATCATTCAAAGAAACTTTATTAAGGAAATTTATTGCTCTTACCACCCCATATCCATTAAAATAAAGAAGGAAAAAAAATAGAGAAGAAAAGAGCCATTCTCACAGAGAAGAAAGGTAGTAACCCCAAATCAGAACCAATGAGACACAGAGTCATGATGGGTAGCCAGGTCTCCCTGCTTCTTGGTCTTCCTCACCCCATGGCCTCTAGATCTGCCCTGAGATCCAGGGGATGGGACTTATGCTGTATGCTATGAAGCCAGGGTTCTTTTCATCCAGTGACAAAGAACTATGACACTCAGGGACACTGGGTTCCTGTGCGGCCCGCCTGAGGAGCTGAGACATAATACAGGAGGCTGGAACAGAACAAAGGAAGTCCCAAGCGGCTTCATCAGAGAGGGCCACCAAGTGCTTCCTGAGAGAAGAAGAGGAATGTGAGCAAGTTCTGGGGCACACAGTGGGCAGAGGGCACTCTGGCAGACGGAACAGCAAGTCACCAAGACCCCAAAGTGTAAAATGGTGGTATGTTCTGGGCAGGTAGCACTTTGAAATCAGGCAGAATTGAGTGGGAGCAAGAGGGATAGAGTGGATTGTGCTGAGGAAGAATGAGTAGAGACTGAATGTGTCTGAGCAAGAATGTGGGACCTCATCCTCCAGGCCAGGGCTCCCAAACAGGTATCAGAATCCAAGACAGGAGTTCTAAAAGAATGAAAGTAGATGTATATGGAAAGGTAGCCTCATCATGGTCTGCCAGGCAAAAATAAGGGAAGAATCTTGACCCAACCAAGTGGAATCCTGATCCTTTCACTGGGAGTTGGGAGTCAAGAGTCAGGAAAGAACCTAGAAAACTTCTCGATTTTTTCACATGACTGCAGACCCATGAGGATGCATAACCACAAAGGGAAACAGAAAAGTTTTGTAGAGTCAGAATAGGGAAGTTTTCTTCTCTGATCTCTGAGCATTCCAGAAAAAGACTTTCCATTACAACTTGGCAGCTCCTTCCAGAAGCTGCCTGAGGCCACCCTAGACACACTGGACTGTTTTGTCTACAGTACTATCACAAGCACAAGTCTATCTCCCCCTGTCTTCACAAATATGGGGATTCAGCAATTGATGGCACTGTACTCAGTGCAAGTCACCCCTTGAGGAGCTCACTCACAATTAGACCAGGGAACACATGTTTTTTTCCTCTCCAAATTGAATACCTGGAGCCTAAACCAGGGAATAAGGCAAAATCAAACAAACAAAACAAACACACACCAAAAAATTATGGGAGTTGCCATGATTTCTCCTTCCTCAGACACACATGGCCTTTCACTTGTGGACTGATCATTGGTCCAAGTTCAAGGAATAGCACAGAGTTCACATACAGAAAACTTAACTCACTCTTTTATTCTTCCCCACCCCAATCTTCTCTCCATTTTATTTTTCTGTGCAAGGACAGTCTCATAAGGCCTGGGGACCTCAAACATTCTATTACATTGTTACCATTCAGGTGGGTGACACATTTTCCAGTAAAGAAGAAACGAGCCACTTACCTGGCAACAGATGCCAGGAGAGGATAATCACAGGCTGAACACCGCTCCTGTCCTGATAGCAAGACTTCTTTAAAATAGAGAAAAGACCCAGGCTGCCACTCCAAAGGAACTGGATTTTAAACCTAAACAATTGAAAATTTCTTATATAGGACTGAATTTATTAGCAGTTAACTTCCTATGATATATGTATTAAGTAGGATGAGTTTTGGGAGCTAGGAAACAAACTGAGTTATTTTAAAAGAAAATTGTAGTTTTGTGAACTGTGAAAACTATACTTGTTGCTATTGTACCTTCTACAGCTTCTAGAACACTGACTGTCTTGGAACTTAATATTTTTTATTGAGTTAGCTTGCTAACCCCTCTCCCTAAGGCCATTAGGTTGAGCTGGCAAAAGTCTGTTGGGTGAGGTAGAGAGTAAAACCTTGGTGGTTGGTCTTCAGAAAGTCAGAGAGGTTGTAAGCAGCCTAAAGCCTAAGCAGCTCAAAGAAAAAGGCTGTAAGGAATTTTAAGGTTCCTGTGAAATGTAAATGTTCAGATGAAGCTAAACAGAGTTTTGCTTAGACAGGCGTTTTAAAGTCCTTCATGTGGCATGTAAGTGACACCCAAGCTCATGACTAAAAGTAGGAAGATCCCTAGAAGATTTCATGCTTCATGTATCTGGGTCAATGTCAGAGTTTTCCTCTTTGACCTTAACAACACAATTCACCTGTTCCTAAGTCAACATTCTATTCAGGAAAAGTCTCTGAATACCAGATATATTCCAAATAATGATCCAGGTGAAAAAAGTGTGTGTGTGTGTGTGTGTGTGTGTGTGTGTGTGTGTGTGTTCTATATATATATATATATATATATATTTGCTTGTTCAGTGTCTATGTCCTGTCATTTTCCAAGCAGATCACAAAATCTACATACATAAGATATTAGGCTATATCCAGACCAACATTAACCATAATACTATGGAGGTATTGGAAAATAATGCTAATCCATTCATATGTTTTTCAACAATTGCAATATTCTGAGGCTCTTCATTCATAGGGAACAAAGGTAAATTCTTAATGTGAGTCATTTTAAAATAATTTGGTGGTTGACCCTTTCAGCCAGTCCTACATGTTAATATAATTTCCATTAATCATCTTTGAAAATAATGACAGATTTCTGACTCTTTAGTTTTTCTGTAAATATATATAATCTTGAAGATGTAGCCATTTCTCTAGTCTTATTGCTTGTTCTGCAAGCAGTGATTACCATATATCATGAATTAATTGGACTAATTAATTCTATATTCAGGATCCTAAATATGGCCAAAGAATGCATGCTTTTGAGCAAAGTCACATGGTTCAGTCAACTCTGCATTATATCTAGATCATACTGATTTTGTTATTAGTGCCTTAAAGTTATACATAATATTGGAGTTCATTTTACATAATCATACATATATGAAATAAAATTTGCTCAAATTCAGTCTTCAGTACATCTCTTTACCTTTCCTCCTCCTTTCCCCTGTTTTCATTTCTCTACACTAGGGGTCTTTAATTAATGCCTCATAGATATACATAAAGGTGAAATACCCTATGATATATTCATATATGTACATAGGATCGTTTGGTTCATTTTATTTCACCATTCCTCCTTGTCCCACTCCCTCCTTCTTCCCTCTCTAACCCCTTCCTCTAATCCACTGATCTCTCTTCTATTTTCATGGGATTACCCCCATACACACTTTTTCCCTCTTGTTTTCTTCTAGTTTCCATATATAAGAGAAAACCCTTGACTTCCTGAGTCTGGTTTATTTTATTTAGCATGTTACTTTTGAGTTCCATCCATTTACCAGAAATTGAAATATTTTATTTCTTTTTTATGGCTGAATAAAACTCCATTTCTTCCAATTTAACCCCTATTTATTATATGAAGTTTAATACCTTGCACAAAACTCATCTCAAAATGAATCAAAGACCTAGGAATTAGATCAGAAACTCTGTACCTGCTAGAAGAAAATGTAAGCCCAACACTCCAACATGTTGGCTTAGGAACCAACATTTTTAATAAGACTCGTAAAGCACAATAAAGAAAATCAAGAATCAATAAATGGGATGGAATCAAAAGAAAAAGTTTCTTCACAGCAAGGTAAACAATAAGAATGAAGAAACAGCCTACAGAATGGGAGAAAATCTTTGCCACCTTCACCTTAGATAGAGTATTAATATCCAGGATATACAAAGAACTCAATAAAGCTTAACAGCAAAAGAGTTAAATAACCCAATCAATAAATGGGCAAAAGAACTTAACAGACACTTCTCAAAAGAATATATAAGTGAAAAAAATTTTGACATCTCTAGCAGTTAGAGAAATGAAAATTAAAACTACCCTGGGTTCATCTCATTCCAGTCCAAATGGCAATTATAAAAAATACAAGTAACAATAAATGTTGGTGAGAATGGGGGGAAAAGATATTCTTATTCATTGTTGGTGTGACTGCAAACTGATGCAACCACTCTGGAAAGTGGTATATAGATTACTCAAAAAACTAAGGATTGAAACCATATTTGACCCAGCTATCCAATTCCTTGGTATGTATCCATAGGATTAAAAATAATTATACTGCAGTGATGCAGGGACATCAAAGTTTTAAGCAGCACAATTCACAATAGCTAAGCTGTGGAGCCAGCCTAGGTGACCCTGATTGGATTAATGGATAAAGAAAAAGTGGTGTATATATACATAATGGATTATTACACAGCCATGAAGAATAACTTTATGTCCATTTGCCAGTAAATGGATGGACTCAGACACTATCATGCTAAGTGAAATAAGTTAATTGCAAAAAGCCAAACGTAATAAATATATATTAAGAATTGTAATGCAAAAATAAATAAATAAAAAAATTTTTAAAAAGCCAAACATTGAGATATGTGAAGGCTAATTCAAATAAAGGGAGGCAGTGAATAGAAATTCAGTAGATGAGTCAAAGGAGAATAAAGGTAAGGGAGTGGGAATAGGAAAAGTAATGAGAATGAAATGAAACAATATAATATTCTTATGTACACATATGAAAATACCACAGTGAATCCCACCATCATGTACATCTTCAAGAATGGGGTCCTAATTAGAATAAGATATATTTCACTCTTCTATAATTATATCAAAATGGATTCTACTTTAATGTATAGCTAAAAGGAACTAATAAAATAAAATGTCTTAAAAACTCTATAGTGTATATATACCATATGTGTATCCATTCATATGTAGGTGGGCACCTGGTCTGGTTCCATAATTTGGCTATAGTGAATTGTGCTGCTATAAACATTGGTTTGCATGTGTCACTAAAGCATGCTGATTTTTGTTCTGGATATAATCTGAGGACTGGGATAGCTGAATCCCGTGACGGATCCAT